TGGGTTGGAGTTTTGTGGCCATCCTACAAATGTGGCTAACATTCACTATAGGGATATAAGCAGTACCCCTAGTAACCTTGACAGCATCTGGGTAAAGAAACACCCCCGGAGGAAGGTGGGTATATCCCATGGAGGGCTCAAAAATACAGTGTTACATAAAGAAAATACCTGCTGAGCACAGGTGATGGCAATAAACCTCACTGATTCAGCCGGGACGGAGACAGCACGCCTACCCCTAACTCTCGCCAAACCTCCTGTACGCTCAGCAGACTGAATTTGATAACACAAGTGCAGTGCTTGCTGTAAGGCATCAGGGGCTTGGGTAACTTGGGGAAGATCAAAAAGATCAGAGCCATACTCTCCAAACAGTTCAGAATAGCATTCCCTTATGATGTTCATACCCAATACCACAGGCACACTAGTAGTGGGCGAGGAAGTTTGGGGGCTCTGCACTACCAAATTCCCCGCTTAGGAATAACCTTCCCCAATACCTGAACATCAAGCTCCACATATCCAATATAAGGGATGTCTAGGCCATTAGCGGCCTAGAGCTGTAACCATTGACATGCATGGGGACTTTCCGCAAAATTTTGAAAAAAAAAAAATTATCTGAAATGGTAGAGACTGATGATGGGGCTGGTGGTGCTGAACCTGGGAAACAACACGCTCATTATCACAAGTACTGGCAAAATGGCCTGGTTGTTGGCATCGCCTACACACTACTGGGCCATTACGAGAAGATGAATTACGCCTAAAAGGCTGTTGTAAGGACATAAAACGTTCAGAAAGTTCATTAAATTGTTGTTGTTGTTTAACCATCATCTCTTTTAACTCAGCAATCTGTCATCTGAGGGGTAGAACATACTCGTGTGTCAGGGACCCTAGAGGTCTGCAGAGCACAGATAGATGGCACTGAATAACTCCTAGTTCTATCAGTTGCTGGCCTACCTTCCTGCTCCCAACGGATCGCTTCAGACAAAATCTTTTCCGGATCTTCCCTTTCTTCCCTGGATCGATACCTTATCTCATTCTTAGCTTCTCCCTCTAAGTGATCATAAATAAAACATGCTTGATCTACTGGGGCTAGATGCCTAGCGTGCATACTTGCACGTACCTCATCAATCCATTCCAAAACATCAATCCCCATGTTCCCACGGAATAATGGACATTTTCTTTCTCTTGGCACATACACCAGGTGCTCGGGAACTGTGGGAGTGACAGATCTATCAACCAGAACAGAATTAACCCCGGAATCCCCCACTCGGGGTGTCGCTACCTCAGTCTGTTCTTGAATGAGTCTCTCATTGTACGCCCTCAGTTGTACAACCAGGTCTCGCAGTTCCTGTAGTTCCGTGTCCATCTTGGTGGGAAATAAAATGTCTCCCCCGAAGCTCACCGGTAGAAGAGTTGACGTGCATTATCCGAGGGAAGATCCCGTCCAGGGACTAGCTGGCCAACTGCTGTCTTTCTCTCCCCTAAGAAAAATAACATACACAAAAAAAACCCAACAGAACAAAAATAAAACCTAGAGAAAGACGTCTCTATGTCACACAAACCCTGCCGACTACGCCAGTTTGTAGCGTGAGGGCAACATAAGGTCTATGGGCAATTACTAAGCCCAATCAACCATAGCCTGACTACGCCACCCTGAATCTTGTTCTCTTCAGGGAATGTTAGGTTAAGTTATAAGCACAGATCCGTGTGGACCAACCCAATAAAAGGAATAGAGACGAGTTTCTCAACTATAACAAAGCTTACAATTTATTGACAATCACATAATCACTTGTAAAACTTCATTCCTTATTTGATTAAAACACAATAAGGTACACCAACAACCAAAAACAAAACAATAACGAAAAACAAAATAAAGAAACAAAAGAAACATAAGCGGGCACTCGAGGTAGACTGACCGGCCACCGGTGTGAGCCCACGCTATTGACCCGGTAAAAATCACTCGTAAAACGTGCCTGTAAAAAAAAGAAAGTACCAACACACACACACTCACACAATCAAAAAGAAAAAAAGAAAATATCCACCACCCACAGTGAACATGCAGTATAATCAGAGGGTATCCACCAAAGAGACCACACCCGAGATCCAACCAGCACCCCTGAGTGTTCCGCTAAAATAACAAAAAAGAGAATAAAATTAGTTGGGTTCCACAAAAATCGAAATGTTCAGAAAACTGACCATTAATAGGCAATGCAGCCCATTTATAAACACCATAACAATAACAAATTCCACTAGGCGGAATTTAGACAGCAGTGGCAACTAAATGGCAAATCTGATGCTTTTAAATTAAACGGCACCACGGCACCATTTTCAATGGTCACCAACCATGCATCCACCAGCCCCACAATCGACAGGAAGATCTAATCAGCCTCGTACTTAATACCCCGCACCCGCACAGAAGTGGGGGGAAAACAGCCTTATTCGAACGGGAAACCTAAGTCTCAATAGGGAATAAAGTTTATAACCCTTCCAAACCACCGCTCCTTTCCGTCTTATAAAGCACATGGCAATTTACTAGCGTGCACACTTCCACCTACTAAGAAATGCTCTTGAAGGGGCCATGTCACTTTCTTAAATGAATTTACGGTCTTACAAGGGACCTCACTACATCTTTAGTTAAATCAATTGTTAGTTCTTTGATTTTCTGTCTTTTGTTGGTTGGTTCTGTCTGTGTTTTAACATCTGCTTCTTTCATTCGTCTGGCAGTTCATTCACTCGTTTTGTCTGTCTTGTGCTTGTGCAGTTTGTTGTTGTCTTTGTCTTTTGTTCATTTGTCAATTCTGTCCTTCCTCCTGATCCTCCCGTTCTTCGTCTTTTTCCTTCCCTTTCCCTTTTATTTCCTATCCTGTCCTTCTTTTCCACTTCCCTTCCTTTGTCCTTCCTTTCCCTTGAAGTTGTGCTCAAACCTACTAGTTGCTATTTGTTCAAAACTTTTGAGGGTACTCAACTTACTCAAAACAAATCAGTGCCAGTTTAAATCAGCTGTTGGCTCAGCATTATTTACTAATGATCAACAGAGTCGTGTTGAAGGTTTCTCCAGCTGTCACGTCAGATTTGTAGATTTTATGAGCTGTTAGTTTGTGTGCAGTTGAATTTCACATTCATTTCATGCTCCTCTCAGTCTCCCTACCTCCTTTTTCCTCTCTCTCATTCTTTCGCTATCAATCTCTCCATCTCTTTCAATTAAAAGCGAGCTCACGGATCCCTCACAGCAGACACTAATGCAAACATGTTATGTATTCAGTGTCAGTGTGCAGTGTTTCCCTAGAGCCCGTTTTTAACAATCTTAACAAACACAGGCTACTGAAGAGCATTTGTTAGACTCGAGCTTACCTTTCAACTAGCAGAACGTGTCTTTTTGTGTACAAAAGGATCTATTTTTGCATGATTTTGCTCTGATAAGAGAGAAAATATGACTCGTATATGGTCACCTATTAATCTAGAGATGAATTCCCACTGTGTGTGCGTCCTGCTGTAATATCCTGGTGTATTTGCTCACTTGCTGAGTGGGAGGGAAACCAGACAGAGGTTTGATTTCTTTTCCTCTGTTGGATTCACCTTGGGAGCCTCACACAGAAACATCACTAGGAGGATAGAAAGGCTCTCATCGGGTCGTGATGTCAGGGCAGATAATCAGTGGAGCGCTGGAGCTGGATGCAGAGAGACTGATAATAGAGTTAGAGGCACAGCAGCGCTCAGTTATTGTGATCAAGGAGATCTGTGCTCCTCCTGTTCATTCTTTCTTTCTTACCTGTTTCTTTGTATCTTTCTTACTTTTAATATCTCCGTTTGTTCATTTTGTCTGTATCTTCCATCGTTTTTATCTTTCATTTGTTTGCTTGTTTCTTTCTTTTTTGTATCTTTCATTTGTTCATTCTGTCTGTATTATCCTTTCTTAATTTTTCATTTGTTTGTTCGTTTAGTTTTGTGTATTTTTGTCTGTTCATTCATTCTGTCTTTCTTTCATTTGTTTCTTTTTATCTTTGTTCATTCTACCAGTATCTTTTGTTCTTTCATTAGTTTGTTTCTTTCTTTTTTGTATCTTTCGTTTGTTTATGCTGTCTGGATTTTTCTTTCTTTAATCTTTCATTTATTTATTTATTTTTTTGTTCTTAGTTATGTGTTGGTTTTTTTTGCTTGTTTATTCTGTCTGTTTTGTATTATTTTATTTGTTTGTTTCTTATTGTTTGTTTGTTCATTTCTTTCTTCTTTTGATCTCTCCTTTAAGTCAGTCCATCTTTCATTTGTTTTCTCATTCACTTTTATTTTCCAGATTTTTGTTTAATTTGTTTGCCTATTTGTTTGTTCTGTATTTCTTTTCTTTTCGTCACTCGTTCTTTGTCTTTAATTCTGTTTTTTGCTCATTTTATCTGTCTGTCCGTCTTTCTTTCCTTTGTTTGTTTTTTTTATTTATTTGTTTGTCATTTTTTTCTATTTGTCTTTTGATCTTTAATCTTTCAATTGTTTGTTTGTTTTTCATTTTTTGTTTTTCTCTCTTTTTGTTTGCTTGCTCGTTTATTGTTCTGTTTTTCTGTCATTCATTTGTTCGCTTGTTTTGCTTGTTCCTTTTGTTTGTTTCTGTATTCTGATTTTCTATTATTTCATACACTCACTTTTTTCTGTCTTTTGTTCTTTCTGTCTGCCTGTCTTTATTTTGTTTGCATTTATTCACATGTTTGTCTTTTTTCTTTTTTTAAATACATCTTTATTTTCTGTCTGTTCATTTGCCGTTTTGGTCTTTTTATTATTTACTTGCTCTCATTTTCTCATTTTCACATTTTCTCCATTGCATTTCTTAGGCTTGCTGGCAGATCTTACTCAGGAAATTTTGATGTTTTTCTGTTCATAACCATACAAAAAAATGCTGTTTAGCCATTTGTTTGTTTTACTGCTGCCAAAAGTTTATTCTGCTTTCACAGTCCTTGCTTTCAGTAGTAAAAGCCCAAATTCTGAATCCATCCATGTATTTCTCTCTCTTCTCTTTTTAGAGCCAGTAACATGCAACTCAAAACATTTCATTTGTGCCAACGGAGAGTGCATCTCCTCACGCTTCCGTTGCGACGGCGACTTCGACTGCACTGATAACTCAGACGAGGTTTCAAGTAGCACATTTGTCAATCATACCATTGCTAAACATTGTTCATCTGGTTCCTGTTAAAGTGCTGATATCCCATACATCTGTTTTCAGAGAGGCTGTGAGAGCCACTGCTCCGAGGATCAGTTCCAGTGCCTGAATCATCTCTGTATCTCAGTCAAATGGCTCTGTGATGGACAGGAAGACTGCAAAACCGGGGAAGATGAGGCCAACTGCAGCCCTGCCAACACTGCAATGACAGGTTAGCTGCTTTCACAAGCTCTTTAAATAATGCAAACAGATCCAGGACCGATCAAAGCTGTTCCCAGACAGCTAGCTTGGCACTCCTATAATCACATGTCACAGAGCGGACACCTTTTATCCAAAGGGAATCACAGGCCTACAACTTCACAATGATGACTGGAGATCTCTGCACTGCCTCAAACCCTGCGATGCTGCCTTCATTTATAACCGCTAAGCTACTACCACTTAAAACTAACAGCAAAATTACCCCACATTTGTCATCTTCTGCATTTAAATGTCACCCAAGGAGTTTCGTTCCAGGGAACGGCTTGTTCCTCCCTCAGCGTTAGACTCCTTTGAGTCTAAAACTGCTGCTTAAGAACACTTGACACAAGTATAGTACACCTGCAAACACTCCGGCCCAATTTATGCTTTAAAAGAGGTTGCTATAAAGAAGTATGTCTTTTTCTGTGGCAAGTATTTACGTGCATCCAGAACATCTACCTGTAATGCTTTCACTGCATTTCTATAAGGAGGCAAAATATCATCCTCTCATCTCGCTTTTCATCTATTCCTGAAGAACAGATGGCAAATCCACTTACTCAAGATGGATTTTCAATATTCACTTCCTCTGTGGTATCAATAGCAGCTACGCTCCTCCCCAGAGCGTTGACGTCAAAATAAAGTCAAGAATTTGAAGTCAATTTAGGTCAGTATGTATATATTTATTTAATAAATGAAAATGGAATCAGAATAAAATTAATTTGTTTAATTTATATATATTTATTTATTTCTCATTAAAATCGTATTTAATTTAATTTAATAATCATAACATTATTTCTCATTAAAATCATTACAATTTATTATCATAATTTTAAATGTTAATGTGGTATTGCACTTTGAACACTATAATATATAGTTAAATATTTTTTTGCAATATCACATTAACATTTAATTTAATATATTTTAATAATATATATGAATTGTTTTCTTATAACACACAAACACAGCCTCCAATATTAACCATATTAGTCATATATTTATATTAAAATATTAAAAAAAATTATATATATACTAAAAATGGTCAAATTTATATTATTATATTGCATAATATATTTATTGTTGAACATTCATCTAAAGCTAAAGAACTCAAGAATACTCAAGGACTCAGAATAATGCATGTTCTGAACCTCAGCTTCATCTGTTACTTTAACCCCAAGAGACTTGAAGTGCTTCTCCTTATTTTTTTTTTAAGTTGAGGTCTCCCTCCTGTCTTTCTTGGCCCTCGTCTTGAATATTTCAGTGTTGTGTGCGGTGCACTGGGTGCCTGAGTCCATCCATGCCTGCAAACGACCAGTGAATTATTCTGATCGTAAGACTGCTGGAGATGCATTCAGAAAGCTCTCACACTCCCTTTCCATTTTTTTGCTCCTTCCCTGTAACTCAAGGCTAGTCTGGGGAATTTTACCCTACGATTAATATTAATGTGGCTGAAAACACTTCAAAAAGTGCAGCCAGAAATCTCTCACAACCTCTCGCTGACTGAAACTGCAGCTCCGTTTATTTCAGACTGAGCCTATCTACAGCAGGGAGCCACGTGTGTGTGATACGGATTATTTCAAGGAACAGAGTGTCCCGGGACATGTAGATTGACTTGTCTTATTATAGTATATGAGAGGATTCTTTGACAGAAGAATTCTTGTGAGACTTTAATTTGTGACTTCCTTGTGTCTGTGCAGCTCGGCCTACGTCATGTGCTCAGAATGAGTATGTTTGTGTTGGAGGAGGCTGCGTGTCGGCTGGCCAGCGCTGTGACGGACAAAACGACTGTTCAGACGGATCTGATGAGGTCAGTTGGGTACATACACAGGAAAAAAATGCATTTGTTGATTACAATAAAGTGTTTACTATAGAATTTATATACTTTCAAGTACTTTTAAAGGAATAGTTCACGCGAAAATGAAAAATGTTGCCGTTTACTCACCGTCATGACATTCCAAACACATTAAAAAAAAATTTAAAATATATATATATATAATTATTATTATTATTATTTATTTTTTTTTTTTTTTAAGAATTTTTCAGCTGTTTTTATCAATATAGTGGAAGTCAATGGGGTCCAAAACTTTCACATTCCAAAAAAAGACCTGTTTTATATTGTGGTTAAAACTGTGTGGATATTATTAGTAGTAGTAGTAGTAGCAGTAGTACTGTAGTAGTATTAGTATTACTTTTTTTGAGTGTATACTGTTATAACTAACCTGCTGTTAATTATTTAATAAATATATTTAAATAACAAATTGAAAAATAGTACGTGTCATTATTTATAATATTTTTCAAATTATTTTTGAATACAGTTATAACTAACTTTTCAGTTAGATAATTAATTAATAAATATAATTTATATGATACAATTAAAATAAGTCATATTATTTTTATTATTATCGTTGTTGTTGTTGTTATTATTATAATTATTATTATAATTAATACTATTAAAAACATAAAAATGTTTGAAAGTAGTTATAACTAACTTTTCTGTTATGTATTTAATAAATATTATTTATATGATAAAATGTAAAATGTCACCATTTATAATAATAATTTTTATTTTGTTTTTTGTCTAAACAATTATAAATAAACTTTCGGTTAGTTAATTAATGCTAAATATTTTTAATTAATAATAATTTTTCTGATCTTTTTGGAGTGTACACAGTTACAACTAACCTGAAAAAAATATTTCATGACATTAATAATAATAATAATAATAATAATCGTGAAAATAATAATAATACATTAAATTAATACAATTTATAGTAAAAATTCTCATTTTTATCATTTATTCACCCTCATTACTCACCCAAACTCAGATGATTTGTTCAACCCAATAAGATATTTTGTAGAGTTTTTCGCCTGTTTTCATCAATACAACAGAAGTGAATGCCTAAAACTTTCAAGCTCCAAAAAGGACCTAAAAGTAATTAGGTCCTTTTTAAATAGTGTGAAATGATTCAGGGTGATGACAGGATGCTCATTTTTGGGTGAACTATACCTGTTTAATTCTGATGCAGCGTTTTACAGTATAGCGCCGTTGTCTCTTGATAACAGCAGGTGGGTTCCTCAAGACTGCACTCTGTTTTCTCGAGGGACTTTGCTTTAATTAAACCCTCACTCATAATGAAGTGTCAACAGTTCAAACGAGTTTGCCTGTCCTAATAAGGCCCATTAAAACAGACCTCTTTTTCAAGGGCCCCTGGAGAGCCAAGGCCGCATTTCTTCCATTATATATAAAAAGCAATTTCAGCTGTAGGAAAAGGTCAAAGGTCACTGCTAACGAGGACATACCTCTTTATTCAACCAATCATTCAGTTGCGTTATTGAAATCAAATCGTACCGTGTGTGTGTGTGAGCAGGTGGACTGTATCCGGGAGTGTAAGGAGGATGAGTTCCTGTGTCGTAATCGGGCACACTGTGTTCCCGCTCGCTGGAGGTGCGACCGAGTCTTTGACTGCCTGGATCAGAGTGACGAGGACAGCTGTGACCAGGGTAACGCTCCGAAATCTGTTACTGGGCGATTAATTTTTACTTCCCAGCATGCTTTGCATGGGATCAAGAAAGTACATTTTTAAATTAAGTTCTATTTTATGCATTTTTGAGTGAAGGGAAAGATTTGTTAGTGTTTAATGTTCAGTAAGTTATATTTAACATGCTTTTAGCTAGTAGTTAACTGGGATGTGTTCACTTGAGCTACGTTGTTTGTTTCAAACTTAAATTGTGTGGAAGATGATGGTTATGATGATGATGATGATGTTGATCATTAATTGTTGTTGTTATTATTTATTTATTTATTAATACTAATAATAATAATAATATATTTTAGTGTATACTGCTATGCCTAATTTTTCAGTAAATATAATCTATGTAAAATCAATAACATTATCTACAATGCAATTAATAATAAAATCATTATTTATAACAACAACAATAATAAAAAATGTTTTAACTGTACACTCATAATTTATTGTGTGCAGTTATAACTAAACTTTCAGCTAATTAATTATTTAACAAATATTTTATTATTATAAAAAAAATAATGGAATAATAATTTTTCAAATTATATTTGAGCATACATAGGTACAACTAACCTTTCAGTTACTTAAACATAAGTCAAAATAAATATAAAAAATCATATATATATGTATATATATATGTATATAATAAATATAATGTAAATAATATAGTTACTTATTTATGTATTATTTTTCATACTTTGAGCGTTCATTTATAACTAACCTTTCAGTTACTTATAATAATAATAATAATAATAATAATAATAATAATTAGTAGTAGTAGTGGTGGCATATTTGTTGATTATTATTATTTGTGTTGTTGTTGTTATGAATGTGTACATATTTATAACTTTTTATATACCAAAAGAATACAATAATTTACTCATAGTACAAATAGTGCTCTGAAAACCCTAAAGTCATTAGCATTTACTAAACTAATGTTGAATGTTATCTTTACTACAGACCTGAATATGGTTGTTTAAGCATTCTGTGTTTGCTAGTACCAAATATTACATACATATTATGTTAACTAAATGTAACTGTTACATCAGCCGTAAAACGCTAATTCTGTGGCATACGAGCCAGAGTGACAAACGTGTGCGACAGGCTGTCGTATTTATGCCAGTGCCTTTAAATTGCAGTTTCAACCCATTACAGATTTGAGGGATTTTCACAAACATGAACATCACAAGAATACATTACTGTGGATCAGCCGAGCCGTGTGCGGCACAGCGCGGAAAAAATCCCCAGCCTCACGAGAGAAGTCATCTCCCCAATATTTGTGAAAATTGGCGAGGATGAAAGGTTCCGTGTTGCCACTTGATATCTGACAAGCGAGTACATGAAAGGCCTAATTTCAGTGTTTTGAAAAATTGCGGTGGTTGATATTGTTGTGAAGACAACCCCAGCCATCCTACACCTGCGGCTCTTTAGAAGTGTTTGCATCAAAGATGAAGTCCTGTTTCTAAACACCTTATTTATTTATTTGCAATTTTATAACTCTTAAAGTCATTGTGGTTATATGAAATGTCATAAGATGTCTCTTCAGAGTTGTGTTCCTTTCAGATGGCCCTGAGTCAGTGGATGAGTATTGACTGGAATTATGTTTGGACTTACTGGTGTTTTTCCAGAATTGGACGCCTTTGATCTTTGTCGAGTTACTCAGTCTCGACGGTGATGCCGTTTCAGTTTTATCGCTCAAGTAGATCTGGACAGTTCTGGAAAGTTGCAATAAATAATGGATTTAAATAAATATATTAATTTAAATTAAATATTACACATTGTGTTCAAAACAAGCTTAGTTAACCAGATTTTTATCATTTCGAAAGATAATGCGAGTGGTAAAATTCGGAATATTAATGCAAAGGTGTTTGTCCTGGTTGCCAGGGTGATTCTATGCAGTTGCTAAGAGTGTTTTTTTTGTTGTTTTTTTTGGTTACATTTTATTATGCTGAGGTTGCTAGGGCATTGTTACATAGTTGCTTACAAAACAACCAATCTTCAAAGTCCACTAAAAACCTGTGCTAAAATAGCTTTTGGATTAGTTTTTAGTTGAGTTTGATGTTGTTATTACATAAAATATCAATCAATCAATGTTTATTATTATCCACATAAATCTTTGTTGTTCTTTATTTTTGTTGTG